AGCAACCAATATAATAATAACAAGAAAGAGAGATATCAAGAAATCTAACATAAACCATGAAAAATTGTTAACCATCAAAATTTCTTTTATATTGAACAAAAAAAAATCTGCCAAAGAAAAAGTGAAATAGTATGGGTATAAAAAAGAACCCTTACAAAGTCTACCCACAATCAAGCATAGCAGATAGCATTTACATACACGAGTTTAACAACTCTTACAAATTTGGCGTTTGAAATAAACGTTTTAACTAAATAAGCGAAATCTAAACACGAATATTAGTAATTCATACATGTTTACGTGGCTAGTGTGTTAAGTTAGTAAAAAGGTTTTAATTCGAATTTACAATAAATTAAACTATGCACTAATCTTTGGTCAAAATTAGAACTTAAATAAAAAATTAAGATTTAAGTCCAAAATTTTAGCAGATTTTTAACTATATTTTAAAGAATGCAAAAATTATATATAAATAAGTCTATAGACTATTCTATAAGCGAGACATTAGATTAGTTAAACTATCACATGACAAAAGATAATCTTTTTTTATATATAAAAGAGTAGCGTTACTGACTGACTGATTTTGGTGATTTTGGTACCTTTTTTGGCCCTTTATAACTTTTTAACTAATAAACAAAATAACATTTTTGTAAATATTTTGAATATATCTCCCAAAATTAGGAGGCACATGTTTCGTACTTTTTTAAAATTCAGCCCTTTTTGGGTGTAAAAGAGAGAAAACAGTATTTTCGGTACTTTTTTTAGCACATTAAGAAAACTTTTTCGATTTATTGAAGTATTCCTATTAAATTACGGACTAACTCTGGAATATTTATTGAAACAAAATATTTGCTATTTCAATGGGGAAAAAAAGTACCAAAAAGGGGAAAAACGGGAAATTTAATTTTTTTTTAAAAATCATTGAGCCAATTTTTATAAAATTTGAAAAAGTAGTTTATTTACTAACACAAAATAAGCTATTGGTATATTATTTTGGAATTCGAGTACTAAGGCCTATGTGGGACCAAATTCGTGTAAATTGTTTGGTACCTTTTTGAAAGCACAATTTTTCTGGAACAAATGAATGCAGATTTGAATCGTTTGAGTTTTATCTGTGATATATAGATTTAAATACGGAACATTTTGTAAACTTAATTCTCAAAAAAGTATATTTCTAAGCGAAAAGGGGAAAAATTGTACTATTTTTATTAGTACTTTCCACAAAGGTAGAATTTATTCCACTTTTGGTACTTTTTCTTTCTTCAAATGATACTCTGTATGTTTTATAATATGAATTCAAAACATATTATTATTATTATTAAACATATACGGTCCTCATTGAATAAGATTCTTTAAGAGAGAACTTTTTATTACTTTTTAGTTCATAAATTGTACTTTTTGAATTTTCTAAAATATTCAACCTAGGAACATAAATTTTAACATACATGATCTTGACTGAATAATATTCTATAAGTGGGTACTCTTTGGTACTTTTCCATTCTTCAAATGGTACCTTTTGGTTTCTCTATAATGGTTAGCCGGAACACATGCTTATTAAATAAGAATTTATTGAGAGAGATTTTTGTACTCTTTCGTTTTTCCGATGGTATTTTTTGATTTTTTTACAATTGAACATAGAAATTTAAAATATAGGTACCTTAGTGAATTAGAATCTATTGAAAGGGACTTTTGGTACTTTTTCATGCATCAAATTATATTTTTTAAATTGTCTATAATATTGAACACAGAAACATAACATTTTTGATTAAATAATAGGTATTTTATAGTACTTTTTTTCAAATAGTAATTTCGATTCTTCCTGAATGTGAATTTATTCACGTGATATTGAACGTAAAAAACTGAAACATTTAAAAATTTTTAAATCAATTTTAATTTTCTATAAAAGTAAACAAAATTTTGTATATGTATTTAATTTTGGTTAGGGTAGCGAAGCACCCAGGGTATGCTAGTATAACCATAATAACAAAAACTTTGATGAAAAATTATCGCACTACCCACCTACTGTTATACAAATATAAATGGATATTTTACAATACTTTTTATTCCCTTTCTATTCACCATATTTTCTATACGACTATTTTATTTGGTTTATGTGATTTTTTTTCTGATTCTTTTGTTTACTTTTTTATGATAATAGTTTCGTGTTGAAAAACTTAAATAAAAAAAAAACTAAAATCCTAGAAACTTATAGTCGTAACAGCGACAAAATTTATAACCTTGATTTGGCAATTTAACTGTGTGTAATATCAAAAAAAAAAACTAAAAGGTGAATGAGTGATAAAGACGACATTATCGTTTTTGTTGTTGCTGTTGATGATGATGACTGTCAGAGTTCTAATGGCTGGAGTAGTGGGTGGTTATATTATGTTTTCTTTTTTTATATTTGTATTTATTAGTGAATATTTAAGGGTCTTTGGTAAACAATAAAAAAAAGGAAGAAAAACTAAAAGTAGTAAAAGGTAATAAAATAATAACAAATAAAAATTATGTTAAAACATGCAAATATGTGTTAACTTTGATTTATAACCGACTATTGTGTATACAATTACTACAAAATACACAAAACACACACTTAAGCATTTATGAAAAGTTATAATTTTATCGAAATATTATAGAAAAGTTGTTTTTATTTTAATAGTACAGTCAGCTGTTAACAGTTTAGAGAAGGTGTAAAGTAGGGATGCCAAACGGGACTGGCTTTTACAAATCCCGGGATTCGGGATTTTGAAAATTGCAATCCCGGGATCCCGGGATATTTCGGGATCCCGGGATTTTTCGGGATCCCGGGATTTTTCGGTATTTCGGGATTTTACGGGATTTCGGGATTACATGAATTTAATTATTTTATATATGAAAATCTTTAAATCATCATATTTGTAAAGAAAATTGTTTAATTTTGTGGAAATTTAACAGACAGAAGATTTAAATTAAAACAATCCAATTAATTCCAATTTTTAAATAAAAACTTTCAGAATTGCATAATTTCAGAAACTTTTTAAATACATACTTACTTCCTAAATAAAAATAAATATCAAGTTCCGAAATTAGACATAAGCTCTTTTTAAAACCTCATACTGTTCCATGTGAACTAATAATTATAACAGATACCAATTCAATTATTCGAACATCAATTTAGAACCTATTCTTTGAAAAATATTTGGAATTTTACTCAAAATACATATTAGTTTTGGAACATATTATTATATTCGTAATATTAATTTAAAATTTTAGGTGCATTCAGAACAAGGTAATTTACCTTTACCGGTATCATTCAGATTTGTAGAAAGTTAGAAATGTAAAATCCTCTAGTATTGAAAAATAAAGTTTGTATTCGACTGTGCCGAAATTAAATACCCACCATCAAAATATTGTAATGTATTGATATTAATATCAGCATCAATGTGATTTTCAGAGGAGGTCCAATTAGGTTTTTTTGTGTCAATTTTGGTCCAAATTTGCAGCCCAAATAGAATGAGTCTTCTAACTCGTGTTTTCAGCTTACAGACACAGAATGTGTATACTTTTTGGGTCGGTCTACGACCAACATTGCAATGTGCTAACAAGTAAAAAGTTATAGTTGGGCGAAGCCTACCATACCCTACACCAGTTATAAAAATAAAATGTGATTTATTGTTCATAATAAAGCATCTAAGTTGAATTGTACCTTGCCTCAGATATAATTTAGCTATTTTTTGTTGAATAAAATTGTGTACATTTAAGTCATATTTCGAAGGGGGCTTTGCATAGGGGCTAGGGTCAAATGAGGCCGCATCATCAAAAAATACATCAGGGTCATGAAGGCTAGTATAGAACTTGGTTTTGCAGCTTTTTGTCGAGTTACGAGTATATTGAACATAATTATGAACTTAAAAACCCTATTTGGGGGGTTCAGTTGTATGGGGGCTAGGTCAAATATTGGACCGATGTTATCCATTTTCAATAGGATCCGTCTCTAGTACAATAGAAGATCATGCAAAATTTCATTGAATTATCTTCAAAATTGCTGTAGTTTGATTACAAGGTTTACACGGACGGACGGACAGACGGAAGGACATAGCTAAATCGACTCAGAAAATAATTCTGAGCCGATTGGTATACTTTAAGGTATAGGACCAATATTATTGTGTGTAACAAACATCAGCACAAACCCAATATACCCTCCCCACTAAAGTGGTGTAAGGTATAAAAACGAAGTGAATAAATAAATTTATATGTGCTATGTGTACGGACTCATACCACTTTAAAAAATAAAAGGTTCAAATATGTATAAAATTAGCTCTGCGGAATTTTGTTTTGCATGAGTCAAAAATAAGAAAAAAAGATCGTAATTTTCAAATTAATGAAAATTATGGCTCAAAAAAAGAAAATAAAAACAGTTTTTTGACACAAATCCTAATCCCGAAAAAATCCCGGGATTTATTTTCCAAATCCCGGGATTCGGGATTTGCCAATCCCGAAAAATCCCGGGATTTTCGGGATCGGGATTTCGGGATTGGCATCCCTAGTGTAAAGTATTTCAAAACAAATAGTTAAACATTTATTGTTTGATATGTTTTCAACGCTATATGAATCAAATTATATATATTTATTTGAGACCAATGATCAATGAATGGCTTGTTTAGGTTTCTGTTAAGCGTACAGTTTTTTCGCCTCTACTGTATTTATAATGTCAAAATACATTAACATTATTTGTCTATGTTTACAATGTACAAAATGTACACATGTATGTGTATCTGTCTGAAATGTGTTACAGATAATGTAAATTTTCTCGTAAAAATATAAAATATGGTTTAAATATGATAATAGTATTTATTTCTTTTTTTTTTTTCTTACAAAAATTATTTGTATTACAAAAGATAATTACATATTAATAAAGTATTAAAGGCGGAGTTTATAATAAATCATCTATGAAATTTGTTCATTTTATATTCCTTTGTATATTTTATGAATTATAATTTATATAATTTTTTTTTGTTAAATTTTACCTTTACTCGCGGGCGGTTTTCTGGTAGCCCAATTTGTTCTAATTGAACGTGAGCCCAGCCATTGTCCGTTCATGGCCGTTATGGCACTTTCAGCTTCCTACAAAGAAACAAAAATTGTATAGAAAATAAAATGAGAAAAAATTAAAATGAATTTAATAACACTAAAAAGGTTGCTGCTTTCTTCAGTGTTTCTTCTTTTTATTATTATTTTTTATCTTTTTATTAAATATTTAATTTAGCATAACGTAAAAAAGGCTTTTTTTTAATTTTTCTTTTTACTTACCGATTTTTTGACAAAGGATACAAAACCATAACCCTTTGATTTTAAGGTTTGAGGATCGCGTACAACACGACAATCGCTGAAAAAAAATAAAGTGAAATATTTTTAAAAATATATAAAGTTTTAAGTTTTGTTCTTAAAAGTAGTTAAAAAAAATGTTGAGGAAGATTAGTTTATTAATTTAAATGTTTAAATATTAAAAGTGAAAACGGGTATTGTAAATATATGAAAAAGTTATCAATTGTCTTAATTAACTAAGTAACTAACTAACTAACAACTAACTAACTAACTAACTAACTAACTAACTAACTAACTAACTAACTAACTAACTAACTAACTAACTAACTAACTAACTAACTAACTAACTAACTAACTAACTACTACTAACTAACTAACTAACTAACTAACTACTAACTAACTAACTACTAACTAACTACTAACTAACTAACTAACTAACTACTAACTAACTAACTAACTAACTACTAACTAACTAACTAACTAACTAACTAACTAACTAACTACTAACTAACTAACTAACTAACTAACTAACTAACTAACTAACTAACTAACTAACTAACTAACTAACTAACTAACTAACTAACTACTAACTAACTAACTAACTAACTAACTAACTAACTAACTAACTAACTACTAACTAACTAACTAACTAACTACTAACTAACTAACTAACTAACTACTAACTAACTAACTAACTAACTAACTAACTACTACTAACTAACTAACTAACTAACTAACTAACTAACTAACTAACTAACTAACTAACTAACTAACTAACTAACTAACTAACTAACTAACTAACTACTAACTAACTAACTAACTACTAACTAACTAACTAACTAACTAACTACTAACTAACTAACTAACTAACTAACTAACTAATAACTAACTAACTAAACTAACTAACTAACTAACTAACTAACTAACTAACTAACTACTAACTAACTAACTAACTACACTAACTAACTAACTAACTAACTAACTAACTAACTAACTAACTAACTACTAACTAACTAACTAACTAACTAACTAACTAACTAACTAACTAACTAACTAACTAACTACTACTAACTACTAACTAACTAACTAACTAACGAACTAACTAACTAACTAACTACTAACTAACTAACTAACTAACTAACTAACTAACTAACTAACTAACTAACTAACTAACTAACTAACTAACTAACTAACTAACTAACTAACTAACTAACTAACTAACTAACTAACTAACTAACTAACTAACTAACTAACTAACTAACTAACTAGCTAACTAACTAACTACTAACTAACTAACTAACTAACTAACTAACTAACTAACTAACTACTAACTACTAACTAACTAACTAACTAACTACTAACTAACTAACTAACTAACTAACTACTAACTAACTAACTAACTAACTACTAACTAACTAACTAACTAACTAACTACTAACTAACTAACTAACTAACTAACTAACTAACTAACTAACTACTAACTAACTAACTAACTAACTAACTAACTAACTAACTACTAACTAGCTAACTAACTAACTAACTAACTAACTAACTAACTAAATAAAACTAGCTAACTACTAACTAACTAACTAACTAACTAACTACTACTAACGACCTAACTAATAACTAACTAACTAACACTAACTACTAACGACTAACTACTAACTAACTAACTAACTAACGAAACTAACTAACTAACTACCTAACTAACTAACTACTAACTAACGAACTAACTAACTAACTAACTAACTACTACTTGAACTAACGAACTAACTACTAACGAACTAACTAACTAACTAACTCAACTACTAACTAACACTAACTAACTAACTAACTAACTAACTAACTAACTAACTAACTAACTAACTAACTAACTAACTAACTAACTAACTAACTAACTAACTAACTAACTAACTAACTAACTAACTAACTAACTACTAACTAACTAACTAACTAACTAACTAACTAACTAACTAACTAACTAACTACTAACTAACTAACTACTAACTAACTAACTAACTAACTAACTAACTAACTAACTAACTAACTAACTAACTAACTAACTAACTAACTAACTAACTAACTAACTAACTAACTAACTAACTAACTAACTAACTAACTAACTACTAACTAACTAACTAACTAACTAACTAACTAACTAACTAACTAACTAACTACTAACTAACTAACTAACTAACTAACTAACTAACTAAGTAACTAACTAACTAAGTAACTAAGTAACTAACTAACTAACTAACTACTAACTAACTAACTAACTAACTAACTAACTACTAACTAACTAACTTACTAACTACCTAACTAACATAGTTCCATATTTGTAGACCATATAGACTAGATTTCATTTGAAATATCTCTGTAAATCATAATTAAAGTCTAGCCGATACTTTTGATTACAGCTGAGACTATATTTGAAAATTTTGCAAACCGCGTTTCTCTTTTTTTCCTTTAAAATGTTTCCTCTCAAATAATTTCGCTAATAAATACTCGGTTTCATTGTAGGTATTACAGCTCTCTAGTGTATTGTATTCATTTATTTAACATTTTCTGGTTCATACTTTATTCATTACAAAAAAAACTTTATGATTTCTATTTGACTGAATTTTTTTCTTATGAGTCTATTATATGCAGTGTATTTGTTGCCCTGTTACCAATGTAATTTATTTAAATTAAGCTGTAGATTATAAGTCTTAAACAAAATATCTTTATTATATTTGCCCAACTTACATACACATACATTTGAAAAACAAAAATGTAAAAATTTTAAACAATTTATGCAAATTTTTGTTTCAAATTATTTTTTTTTCTGCTCATTGTTGGTAAACAAAAAAAATTTTTGTTTTAAAGGAAATCAACAGTAAAATATTTAAACTTTATGGAAATACGCCCACTTTAACAATGAAACAAAATGTTTGGAAAAACAAAAACTAACAATAGGAGGAACAACATTTCTCAGCTTCAGAAAAAAAAGGGAAAGAATTTCTAGCTAAAAATGCAAAAGAAACAATAAAGACTTTATGCCACCTGTTCTAATTTAAAATTCATGTACTACTTTATTTTTGGTTGGGGGAAGTTTGAGGCTGTTGCTACTGATGCTGTCAAAAGAAATTTTTAAACATTATTTTACTGAAAATAAAACCTGTAAAAGAAATAGGTTATTAACATATTTTTTTGTAGAATGTATGTCGAAAAGAAAACAGTGACAAACAAAAATTGCAGTTTGCGACAGTAACGAGGAAATTGATCTCCATCGGTCTGTAGCTGGCTCCTTTCCAAGTACCTACGGTGGGGATTGAACGCAAAGCATCCGGTCTAACAGACTGCAAAACTTACTACTAACCTATCGGTGACACATAACAGCCATAAAACTAGTTTCATTTTGTTGAATAGTTTATCTAAATAAACTTTCTAGTAAAATCTTGTTTTTTTAACATTAATTATTTCCAAAAATAATTCACTTGTCCTATACTTGTGTATATTTATGCCCTACACAACTCTAGTGGAGAGGGTATTATGCGTTTGTGCTGCTGTTTGTAACACCGAAAAATATTGGTCCTACACCCACCCTAAAGTATACCAATATGTCAGTCTGTCAGTATGTCTGTCTGTCTGTCTGTCTGTCTGTCTGTCTGTCTGTCTGTCTGTCTGTCTGTCTGTCTGTCTGTCTGTCTGTCCGTCTGTCCGTCTGTCCGTCTGTCTGTCTGTTCGTCTGTCTGTTTGTCTGTTCGTCTGTCTGTCTGTCTGTTCGTCTGTCTATCTGTTCGTCTGTCCGTCTGTGTGTCCATGTAAAGCTTGAACGCTAGGTACAGGTCGCTATTTTCAAAATAATTTGATGGAATTTAGAGCATGCTCTTCTTTGGAACCAAAGACGAAGCCTATTGGAAATATGTCCATTATTTCGCCTATCCCCCATACAATCGTAACCTCCCTCCTCCCCAATAGGACTTTTGAGCTTATAATTATGTTAAATCTTGTAGAATCTCTACAAAAATCGTCAAATTTAGTTTTATATAAGTTCAAATGATTTTCTCCCTCACTGTTTTACAAATAAAAACATTTTTTTCATTCATAGAAAATTCTTAAGCAAATAATCATGATTTGTTAGAAGAACAAAATAGGTAAACATAAAAATAAAATTTAGAAATCTGACCTTGTTTAACATCATTTCATTTTTTCATTATTATTTATATTTTTTACTTTTACAATTTCAGTTTCAAACATTTAATTTAGTATGTCTTTCTTTCCACAATTCATTCTTTCAATTTACACCCTCTTTTTTATGCAACTGACACATACGTACATCATCATCATCATGAATAACATCTTTGTAAAAGTGTATGTGATCAATGGTGGGTGTACGAGTGGGTGTATAAAAGTTGATTGTTTGTAAAGGAATGAATACATTAACCGCAAGTATGATGCCTTAAATCTATGAAGAATTTTTACATATTTTTTGTATTCCCTTTATATTTGTTCGCATTTTTCAGTTATTACTCAGCCAGACAATATACTTGGTGGCATGGCCTGAATAAAAAGTGTGGCAACCAAATGGTCGCGGATGTTTTGTTTTCTTCCTTTTTTTTTTGTTAGTATTGTCTTGTTATAAAATATTCACACGCGCAAAGTATTTAACAAACCTTAACTGTTGGGAAATGTTTTCAAAGAATTTAATTTGGTTAAAGAAAAAAAGCTTCAAAATAAGAACGTCTTTATGAAAGGGAGGTAGGTCTCAGCGGATTTTTTGTGTATATGTAAATATTAACTTTTGCAAAGAAACCCAAAGGGAGGAACTTTGTTATTGTTTGACTAAAGAAGCTGGACATTTCCTGTATATTTTGCTAGAAAATAGAAAATTATTTCAGTTTTTTTAGCGGAAGTAGCTCAGTAGAAATTTAATTTTATTTTAAAGGTATTATTTGGGTATAAAACTTCAAAGGGAATACATATTTACGAAATGAATTTTTTATAGCTTCATGGTGTATGTTGAAATTTAAATTTGCTTAAAATGAATTTCTTTGTTTAAAGAAGTTTATTTAGATTTCAGTGTTTAACGCAAAGTGGCCGGAAACAGAGTAACCGTAATGCCAAAGAAATCATGTATAAAAACAGGACATAGTAGAATAAACAAACAATTATTCAATTTATAATTGTGCTGAAAGTTTTTATTACTTTTTGCTCGGCTTTCATATTTTTAAAAAAATTCTGTGGTAATAGATTTTTTTAAATCCTCTTCTCCTAAAACTTTTGACAAATTTTCCAAAACAAAAAATTTTGTTTAATTATTTCTCCATTTATATATAATTTTCTAATACGTGTTTTAATATGGATTTTCTTACAACAAAAATAATTGAATAATTGATCAAATATAAAAACTATAAATATGAATGATTAAATATAAAACCAAGAAAATAAAAATATTATGACAAAAAAGTTATCTGTTTAATGTAAATAACTTCCTGTTCATCTTAGAAAATTCTTAGAAATATATAATTGAAATTTTTGAAGTAATTATGATATTAAACTTAAACTTTGATCACACAAAAACTCTAGTATTCTTTCGTTTAATTCAATTTAATAACATAAAAGACAACTTTTATCTAAATAAAGCAATCGTAAATAAGATTAACCAACAAAAAAAATAAAGCAAAAAAAGTACGATGAAAAAAAAAAAATTAATCAATTTTAAATAACCCCTATTTGTGTATCCTTTCACCTGCGCCTTAATATGACAAACATAAACAAATAGACACAACGACTGGCATATAGACAGACAATCATCTTATACAAAAATTCAAATACTAAAAAAAATTTAAATGAAAAAGAAAAATAAATCCGCAAAAATGAAAACAAGTGAATTGAAACCTAAAAAACCAAAAATATATACCGCCACAATCTTAACAAATTCATTTACCAACTTCTACATGTAATGTTTATTTCAAGTTTTTATTCCGTTCCCATACTTTCATCCTCTACCATTTTTTGCTTTTATTTTAACCATTAAAAGAAGTAAAGAAGAAAAAAGTTGAAATAAAGAAAATGCCATAGAACGAACATCTTGTTCTGTATTCAATCTCAGTCAAAATAGACTTTTATTCACAAACAAAATGATTGAAGAGAGAAAGAGCGAAAAAAACACGTTAAACAGCCAGTTTAGAATATAAATGGTAAAGGTGGTTTAAAAAATCCGCTATATTCAAATAAAAATCACTTAAAGTTTTTTTCTACAGCTCTTTGCAAATTTTCTTAAGAACAAAAAAATACACAAAATTGAGAGGGGAGCCTGAATGAAAAAAGTTAAATTACAATTTTCTAAAAATACTTAAGTACATGGTATACAAATGATAGAAAAACTTAATACAAATAAAATAAATGGAATAGAGTTCAGAAAATGTTATGGGGTTGAGAAAACAATCCTTAAATACTGTTTAAAACTTAATAGATCTTCAAAATTAAAGTAGATTTCTTTATTTTTTGCTCTGTTATTTGGTGGTGAGGTGTCATGAAGAAAGCTAAATAAATAGGAAAATATATTTATTTAAAGTCAAGCAAGTTAGATGGTTTTATGTACTTGTAATTCAAAAAAGAATTTTCTGATACTGCTGTTATAATGGATTTACTTTTAGTTATTGAAATCGGGTAGGCTATGTCTTCTAACATAAAAATATAACGTATAGAAATATTGGTTCTACATCCACTTTAATATAAATCAATCGGCTCAGAACTACTTTCTATTTTATCCGCTCGTTGAATGGGTAGAAAAATACACAAAAATAGAAAAATTTTATAAAAACTTTGGAAGAGCGATATTAAAAATTTATTTTTGTAATTGATAAAGTGCGAATCAAACTACTTATAATAGATTTTCCCCAATACTAAGCAATACATTAGTAGGCATATGTAAGATCTAAAAACCTTTTAGGTATAAAAATGGTGAAAGGTTGACACAACCTGACTTACACTTTCTCAATATAGTGATCTGTTCCTTTATACTGATCTGTTCCTTTATACTGATCTGTTCCTTTATACTGATGATGATTACCACAATTATCTTTTGTTGAAAAAAATGAACTGAACTAGAACTGAACTAGAACTGAACTAGAACTGAACTAGAACTGAACTAGAACTGAACTAGAACTGAAACTAGAACTGAACTAGAACTGAACTAGAACTGAACTAGAACTGAACTAGAACTGAACTAGAACTGAACTAGAACTGAACTAGAACTGAACTAGAACTGAACTAGAACTGAACTAGAACTGAAACTAGAACTGAACTAGAACTGAACTAGAACTGAACTAGAACTGAACTAGAACTGAACTAGAAATAGAACTGAACTAGAACTGAACTAGAACTGAACTAGAACTGAACTAGAACTGAACTAGAACTGAACTAGAACTGAACTAGAACTGAACTAGAACTGAACTAGAACTGAACTAGAACTGAACTAGAACTGAACTAGAACTGAACTAGAACTGAACTAGAACTGAACTAGAACTGAACTAGAACTGAACTAGAACTGAACTAGAACTGAACTAGAACTGAACTAGAACTGAACTAGAACTGAACTAGAACTGAACTAGAACTGAACTAGAACTGAACTAGAACTGAACTAGAACTGAACTAGAACTGAACTAGAACTGAACTAGAACTGAACTAGAACTGAACTAGAACTGAACTAGAACTGAACTAGAACTGAACTAGAACTGAACTAGAACTGAACTAGAACTGAACTAGAACTGAACTAGAACTGAACTAGAACTGAACTAGAAACTGAACTAGAACTGAACTAGAACTGAACTAGAACTGAACTAGAACTGAACTAGAACTGAACTAGAACTGAACTAGAACTGAACTAGAACTGAACTAGAACTGAACTAGAACTGAACTAGAACTGAACTAGAACTGAACTAGAACTGAACTAGAATTGAACTAGAACTGAACTAGAACTGAACTAGAACTGAACTAGAACTGAACTAGAACTGAACTAGAACTGAACTAGAACTGAACTAGAACTGAACTAGAACTGAACTAGAACTGAACTAGAACTGAACTAGAACTGAACTAGAACTGAACTAGAACTGAACTAGAACTGAACTAGAACTGAACTAGAACTGAACTAGAACTGAACTAGAACTGAACTAGAACTGAACTAGAACTGAACTAGAACTGAACTAGAACTGAACTAGAACTGAACTAGAACTGAACTAGAACTGAACTAGAACTGAACTAGAACTGAACTAGAACTGAACTAGAACTGAACTAGAACTGAACTAGAACTGAACTAGAACTGAACTAGAACTGAACTAGAACTGAACTAGAACTGAACTAGAACTGAACTAGAACTGAACTAGAACTGAACTAGAACTGAACTAACTAGAACTGAACTAGAACTGAACTAGAACTGAACTAGAACTGAACTAGAACTGAACTAGAACTGAACTAGAACTGAACTAGAACTGAACTAGAACTGAACTAGAACTGAACTAGAACTGAACTAGAACTGAACTAGAACTGAACTAGAACTGAACTAGAACTGAACTAGAACTGAACTAGAACTGAACTAGAACTGAACTAGAACTGAACTAGAACTGAACTAGAACTGAACTAGAACTGAACTAGAACTGAACTAGAACTGTACTAGAACTGAACTAGAACTGAATTAAGTTGTCCAAAAATCGTAACCATCGATTATATGTGATTATTTCTTTACTAGTTATCTTAGGTTAGGTTAGGTTAGGTTAAGAAGGGTTATACACCGTAAAAACGGTGTATATCCACTCGGAGACCATAAGGTCCATTGTGATTCCCACTACTACTAGTTATCTTAACTTCTACTAAATTTTCACAATACCCTCGTTAAATATCGAAAAATGTATGTAGGTATGCATCTAAATTTTCAACAGTTTACATGTGAATAGATTTTCCTAATCAACGAAAAGAAACAAATATTAAATGAATTCTTATGATTATACTTATATACATATGTATGTATATAAATATGAATTCCTCGTTTTCGTTTTTTCTCACACATTTTTACTGTTCACATCATTATTCCACAAACATCTTCATTCATACTCTGAACAACTAAAAATTGTCTAAATATTTCCTTTAGCCTGGGACGGTTAGCTGTTAAACTCTGTAGATGAGAATGGATGGATAGATGAATGTATGTATTTATGCGGATGGTGTTAACGAAGGTGTTGATTATGATAATGTTGGCAACGGATTGTCTAGTTGCTGGCGTCTCCATTCACGCTTTATTTACTTTCACCATGATGAGTAGGATGTGTAATGTCGTTTCGTTTCATTTTACTTGTTGTTTTCTTTGTCTAAATGTGCTGTTGAATAAATACATATAAAATCTAAATATTTTATTTTTTTTTTCGGAGGGTTGATATTTTGTGTAATTGAATGTAAAGAAACAAGAGAGTAAGGCGTTTTGTTGAAAGGATATTGGGTGGGTGGAAAGCGGGTGGTTAGATATAATGAAAAGGTTTATATTTGATAATTTTTAAAGATTTCGTTTCTTTACTTTTATCAATAAATAGAAGTTGTTTAATTTAATGTATAGCATCATAATCATAATTTTTGTATGTAAAAAATCAAGACTTAGAAATTAAGACTACAAGGGGAGATATATTGGGTTAATTGAATTGGAAGCAGGTAATATTAAGCTATTTGCATTACGGAGGAATTGGGTGTATTGTTAATTAAAGTTTAAATTTGATTTAAAGCCTATACTATATATTTACCGGAAAGGAATTTATTTTAATTCCCTAGAGTATTGTACATAGTAATAAAATTGTATAAATAGGAAAAAGTTACACATATTTAGGAAAATATAGACATTAACCTAAATTGAAAAATTATAATTTAACAATTTCCCTAAATATTTTTTGTTTTCATTCAATACTTACGATATTTCTCCAAATGGTGTAAAAGCTTCACGTAACTGTTGAGTTTCAATTTCTGAACTTAGATCACCAACGAAAATGTGAAATTGTTCTGCAAATAAATAGAAAATAAACAAAATTTATTAACATTATTAAAATAACTTAAAGCAAAAATTATTAGTTAAAACAATGACAAAATTTAATAATATAATTTTTTTATACCAATAAATACCTAAGAGACTTAAAGTTGGATTAAACACTGGCAACAAAAAGTAACGGGTAAAAGAAAATCTATGTCTACAGTAGAGAAGTTAAGAAAACTTTATAAACATTCCTGTTACAGCAAAACTTAACAAATGCAATACACGCACAATATGTGTCCTTTGTACATACATATACATATGAAAGTGTGTATGTTCTTCCTTACAACACTCAACAATCATAAACATTCTTATAAAAATGTATGTATATTTTTACGTATATATGTATATATGTACGTCTAAACCATAAACATAAATATTAAAGTTTCCAAACACAATTCCTTTCCTGAATAGTGCTAATTATTTAGGGTAAGGATTTAACAGCAACATCAGCAAAAATATTTCATTTTGTTTGCTTTTGTATACATACATACTATAAATGTTTGTGTAGTTTAACATAGAAATTATAGTAGTCTACCGACAGCAACAACAACCTAAAGAAAATTTTAGTAAAAATATCAGAATTCAAACCATAACGTCGCGTCTTAAATATAGACAAAAGAAGCTTAAATTGAATGGTTGTTCTGGCAGCCACAATTTTCAAAATATATACACACACACACATACACTATAATGTAAAATACTTTTCTATGAAGTACTTATACGAGGTAGATCTGAATATAAAAAAACAAAAATTTTGAAAACGTAGTGCTTCAATATACATATTTTATACTTTAAGAAAATCTTTGACAGATTTTTACTTTGTTTATTTTTTTCTGGAATTCAAGATATCGTGTCCTTAAGTTTAAAAAAAATCAATATTTGGCCCTTTTTAAGAAGTTATAACAGAGCTAAGACAACGAGCAAAAATACTGGATCCACATCTATCAGAGAATGTTTCAATCAACTCAAAACCACTTTCTAGTTTGATTTAACGATGTCTATCCATCAACCAACTTCAACGTATGATATTTCAGCAGATTATTAAGCAATTCAAAAAGTATTTTTATAAGAGCAAATTTTAAAAATCTGTTGAAATCTGGCCAGACTTTGATAGGAAATATACAGCGAAAAATGCCCTGACTTGAAAACGTATATTTCACGGACTGTTGAAATCTGGCCAGGCTTTGATAGGAAATATGCAGCGAAAAATGTCCTGACTTGAAAACGTATATTTCACGGACTGTTGAAATCTGGCCAGACTTTGATAGGAAATAGGCAGCGAAAAATTCCCTGACTTGAAAACGTATATTTCACGGACTGTTGAAATCTGGCTAAGCTTTGATAGAAAATCATGACAACATTGGGTTACGTGCTGCAATATCTATTTGAAACTTGTATTTAGAATGAAGGTATAGGATTCAGCTCGGTTGAATGCTTTAGAAAAGTAAAACTTGGTCTCAGGGTTTTGACTGTTGAAATCTGGCTAGAATATGATAGAAAAATTTTGTGATAAATACCCAGACATGAAAACCTCTTGTTCCACGGACTGTTGAAATCTGACCAGACTTTGGTAGGAAATCATGACAACGTTAGGTAGCGTATTGCAATATCTATTAAAGCTATAGGATGTTTTGCCTAATTCGCCTTATTGTCCAGACCTTGCTCCGTTCGACTTTTATTTGTTTCGAAAAATTCTTTTAATGTGAAATTTCGAAAAATTTGTGTTTATTTAGAATTTTGATAGATTTTTTATATATTTTGTGCCATTCCAATTCAGGGGGTTTCCTATAAAACTCGATTCGAAAGCGAAAATTTTCGAATTTTTATGTTAAACACATGGTGTTTTGAAAGCTTTTTCTTTCGAATCGAAATAAGGAGTTTTGATTAATATATTTGAAAATTATTAGAATATTTTTTATTAAAATTAATTTTAAATTAATTTTCATTCCTATCACGTACATGCCTAAGTATGTTTAATATTTATTCCAGCATATGAATACATTTGATTTCCATTTCCATAATAATACAGATATACTGTTTAGTACAAATAAATACATCCTTTAACACATGTATACATCTATAATATTGTATATGTATTAAACTATAATTAATGAATATGAAAAGTTGGAAGGAGTTAAAATAAAAGTAGGTGGTTTAGATGAAATTTGTTATATTTTATGTTTATTTATGAATACAAATTTCTATGTAACTATTTTCATTAACGAAGATATTAGATAGCTGCAGAAAAATTGGTTTATGAAAAGATCTAAGATATAGAATTAAGTATATATATAAAGTGGATGCCTCCGTAGGCAGTAGGTAGTGTTTCGATTCCCTCTAGAGAGTCTGGTAAAGCAATACATCTAGTGGCCTAGATGTATTTTTTCGGTATTATTCCTGCGAAAATATTTATGGACTTTAAAATCATCTGTAATCCTTAATATATTATAGACTCTTTATTCTAAATATTAGTGCTTCTGTTAAAATTCATATTAAAATCTGTTTATGTTTTTTAACTCCATCAAAATTTAAGGCGGTCTAACGTATGTTCATGTATGTTTTTCTAGTTATATGTATATGTATGTATAAGCAAATGCTTGTTAGTATCTATTCATGTTCTATATTTTATGCAATTTGCTGTATTTGCTGCTGTTATATGTTTTATATTTTATTTATTTATTTTACATTTAGTTAAATAAGCGAAGCGAAAATTGTATTTACAACAAAAACTATAAGAAAAATAAAATAATATAAAAGTATTTTCCATTTAAAGAGAAATGTTAATCAAGAACTTTTTGGCATGCTTGAATATTTTGCAAAACTATATGCAAACGGAAGATTAACAGTAGCGTTTGTGGTTTGAAAGTTTTCGCTAAAAGGGCTCAATAAAATTTTTGTGAGTTTCTTGTAGAGGAATCGTAACAAGACTCGAAATGATAATAGATAAGAGATAACAATTTATTTGTGTATTAGTAGAGAAAACGAACAAGATTCGAATATAAGAATCTCGTCAAACTTTGGTATTAAATAGATAATGAATAGTAACAGAAGCCTAACGACAGTCTAAGTATTAGTATCCTAGTATTGTTATAAGTATAAGAGCTCATCGTCTAAGGATGTTGACTTATCGTGCTACTTATTTACACACAGAGGAAAAAAATATACACGCAACTTTGTCAACATTGCAACAATTCGTTGTCGCAATCTAAACTTTATGCACATCCGTTGTCTAAATGTTAACAAACGTAGTATGCTCACTATTTACAACGCATATTGAGCTTACCACGTTTGTTAACTTTTAGACAACGAATGTGCATAAAGTTTAGATTGCGACAATGAATTTTTGCAATGTTGACAAAGTTGCGTGGTCTACATTACATGTTGTTGTTGTATTTATATACTTGACAACGGATGTTATTGAAAAATTTGGTGTAAATTTGGTACCAGGCGTGTATAGATATAAGATAAAGAAAATTCTCCCATTAGTTTGAAATCACGTTATATGAATTTGATGCAAGTGGCAACAAAACCAAAAACATGAAATTTGAATATGCGTTTTTCCTAATAACATTTTTAAGGTCATTCTTTCAAACAAACAAACAGTAAAACGAAAACGAATTAGGTTGAAAGTTCGAATGAAAACTATAGATCAATTTATGCTTTTACAAGCATGTTCTTAGTTTCAGTGTTCTTAATTGCCAAATTTTGATCTACGCTCCTGTTATTTAGCAATCATACATCATAAAACCAAAAAGAAACATATCGTGGTTTTTCTTCTTTCAAGTACACGTTTTCTACACATATATTCAAAAACCATACTCTTACTTCTGCTTTGACACACACATATATACTTTGGAACACAACAACATTTTGCAGCACACACTTGCAGTGTCCCAACGGTTTTTAAAGGAGTCAAAGTAACTCTCTTAGACGGAATTCCTTTCTTATTTGGTGGATACAAAATTAAATATTTATTTTTGGCTTATGTTTATTTTCTAATGCAGAGATAAAAAGTAAACTAGATCTAATATGATAGTCTCTTCAGTATCTTATAGTTTTGAACCTTTTTATTAGCACAAAACCTTAACAAGTAATTTAAACTTTTGAAATGACACAGAATATGTGATATGTAAATATATGTGTTGTTTCCAGATAACGTGCGTGATCTTTTAGAGAAAATTTTACTTGTAATTTAATTGCAATAGAAATAAAATGTTGTCGTACAATCTAGTGCCATACTCCGTTTGAGGGATCAGTTAAAATAGGGAGATATTGTTTGAAGAGCCATAGATATGCAATTAATACAACTATGACAATACATATACAGCTAATTCTGTAAACCCAAATAATACCAAATAATATTAAAAATCACTGTTCTGGGACAGTCATCTCGAACAACAGGAACACTTGCAATATTACACATACATACATTCAAACATACATATGTACCCAACTACAAAAGTGTAATAAAATTCAGTTGAATTGTAAAAACAAAAGAAAATATTTGAACATTTGTTAAACTCGAGAGAGAGCGAGAGAGAGAGTGAGGAAGCGTGTGTGTGCGTTTGCATAGAAAATTAAAAGGAAACTTTCAACGTTTATGCGTTTAAACTAAACGTTTCATGGAAATGAAAATATTCACACACACACACAAGTACACTTCATTCCTTTAACTTACAATAATTCACAATCACTACTCTGACTGTGCAATTCATAAGGGTAAAGAATTCTATTGCAAATATGTCGTAAATATAACGCAACACACTAAAGCAAGGAAAGACAAAAAACGAGTGAAGGGAATATTGGTAGCGCATATAAAGTTATGAAGGGTTTTGGTAAATATGGTTTCAAAGTCATTCATGCATTTCACCAGTTACTAGTTTCTAAAAAGACAAAAATTCTTATATGGCAGTGGAAAGGAGAAGCATAGTATGTAAGTGAAAGAAAATAAAATATTGAATTGCCTGAA